CACATGGTGTTTAGGCTTGCGTATAAATGTTTGAACAGATGAATGTGGAACCTTCAGGCATCTGGAAATTGAACCCAAGGATGAAGGAGACCGGTGGAGGTCCACTGTTCTCTTCTTGATATCTTGGCTGATTTCTTTAGATTTTCCATGTTACCACACAAGGAAGCAGTGTGTTTGAGGTGTGCCTTACAATACATCCACAGGTGTGCCTCCAATTAACTATCCAATTAACCTATCAAAAGCTTGCAAACCCATGACATCATCATCTGGACTTTTCCCAAATAGCTTGAAGGCATCTTAGTGTATATAAACTTCTGACTTTGAAAAAGTAATAAAAACAGCTCTCATTATTCTGGCATTTAGCAAATAGAAATAATTTTGGTAATCCTAACTGACCTAAAACAGGAAAAGTTTAGTCTGATTTCTGAATATTGTGACGTATTCTTCTTGACATACCTCATCTCCTAACATCTTAAACATCAGACCTTGGAAGCATCTTTCCGTCGCCCACAAATGAAATCCTTCCTGTGAAATAAAGCAACCAAAACATTGCTCTGTTGCCATAACAGGCGAGTGCAGTATGAACGTAATAGGAAGCAGCTGCTGCTCAATCAACAACAAAAGCATGATTTGTTGAGGTTATGGTGAGACGATGCAGATTTGCTACAGAAGCTGCCGTTTGATGTCGCATTTATAAACGACGTCATTCCCCTCGAACAGGAAAAAATGTGAAAACAACAGCTCGGCTTGTACATAACAAAATGAGCCTAATATGGGAAAATACATTAATGGGATTAAATGAACGATTTAATAGCGACTTGAAACAATCTGAGAAGTGATTTATAAAAGCCGGCTGAATTGCTGATGTGTTGCCACTCGGGTGGTTAATTCCTGTGTGTAGTGGGTGCAACGTGATCTGAAAACTGTATAATTGGAAATAAGATAAAACGGAAAACAGCTCCACAGATGGACGACTAATTCAATAACAATCTGGCCCTTTGTGTCTGTGATTAAAAAGCGTCTTGTTTTTCCCATGTGAACGTTTAATATGTCAACTTAAATGTGTGTGCATTTAATTCATCGGTGCATATTTAAAGCCACTTGGATTCTTTGTCATCTACGATAACAAAGTGCAGTTGAATGCCTGGTTTGGACGATTTAAATTCGCCGTCTTGTTGACTTTTGGAATGAAAAGAATTGCAACCTCTGCAGCAATTTTTTTTTTTTCTTAAGATGTTGTTTTTATTTCAGAAACACAAAAAAAACTTGCAGTGCCTCTGAATTTCAGTCACTTGTTTGGACTTAATTGTCTTTGAAAAATGGTAAAGCAGTTCAGGAGAGTTCTATGCTGATTATTATGATGTTCAAACTGGTGTGTTTGGAGAAAAAAGGAAGAATTACATTGCTGAATGGAACACGTTGACAGTTGAGTTGCATCAGATTATTGATCAGCTGTTTAGCTAACCAATTTTTTTCAATTAATTGGTTTAAGTCGTTTTTAAATGATCTGAATCCATCTTCTGAAATGTGAACCTTCTCTAGAGTCCTTCCTCCTCAAAACAAGACATTTGCAGACATCATCTTGGGCTTTGAGAAACATCGATGGACATCATTCACCATTTTCTTGCATTTTATGGACCAACAACTAATTGACTCAATGTGAAATATATTTGACAGATGAAAAAGAACACAGTCATTAGTTCCAGCACTGAGATGGAAATATTCTGCTTTGAGGTTGTGGGGAGCCGATGCCACAGGAAACATAACACGGATTAAGGGAAGAATTCCACTAAAAAAATCATAAACTTGTGGATGCAAATGTCCAAGAGTCAAGAAAGTGTTTTCTACTGCAGACAGTGATCCACAGCAGACTTGAACTATGAACTACTTTAAGAAAACAAGCTGAAGCTTTTGGAAATTTGGAAATCTGCGAGGGGATTTTAAACATGTGGTGTGTGCAAGACTCATAAAATATCTCAGAACTGATCTGCAAGGAAGGGAGGTTGAAAAAAAATATCCAAATGAACAGAGATGCTTCCAACAAAAACTGTGCACAGGCTGAGACATCTGCCGCGGAGGAGACACTAACTCACTCACTGTTCAACTTTTGCACAACTTGTTTCTCGTGCTCATTAGATAAAAAAATAGCAACGCTTCAACATTTGGAGAATTTAATGTCTTTTCACCGCAGTGCTTGTATTCTTTTCTTTTGACAAATGAGCATTTGGCAAATTTACTTGCACCTGATATGAACCGGACAGTTTTCAACGTGTTAAAACCTAAAATAAACAAACACAAACACACATGTGGTACGTCAATTTAATACAAATCTTAGTTGCATATTAAGTTGCACTTTTCAGTTTCAGCTGATGCTTGCAAGCAAGACGTAAACATGAAGCTACTGATTATGGAGGAATGACAAGATGTTCACGCCGATGCATTCATGTATGTCTGTATGTATTTTATCTGCTAATTTACAAATGTAATATAAATATCTCAGATGTTGTATTTTAATCAAGCTCACCACAGTTTCACCACAAAATCAGTCCAATTTTACAATCAGTTTATCGCCAGAGTTCATTGTTAGTGAAGATATCAACAGAACATCACAAACTGTACAGCAAATAGATTTAACTGTTGTTGCACTGGACTGGCTGAAACTGCTGAATTTAAAACCTTCGTGAAGTAGAGAAGAGAAGTGAGCACACCCTCTGCAATATCACTTGAATGCCAGATTATTCAAAAGTGAATCACTTTATGATAATCACATTATTTCTATGTTTAAAAGCGACGTATTTACTCTTGTGTATAATTTAAAAGCTATCAGTTTAGATTTGCTGTTTCTATGACCCTTTGTTTTGGATGATGGATTCAATCTTCTTCCTCATCCAGTACACCAGTGGTGCACAAGTTTCTGCAGAGATGTTCTGCTGTTCTTTTGAGACTTTATTTTAAGTTGTTCTTTCTGAAGGGGTTGTGTTGCTGTACCTCAAGTTTTATCTGCTCCAAGCCATGAACTTGTCCAGGTCATAGCGTTGCATTTTTCGTTCGTTAGAAACTCTCGTATGATATTGACACTGTGCTTTAGATGGTTATCACGCTGGAATATTCCTCTTCTGCCAAGCTTCTGCAGACTGGGAACCATCTTGGCAGACAGGATTTGGGTATATCATAGATGCATGGCATGACTTTTAAATGTCATCTCCCCAACTGCTTTTGCATTCTGCTTCTGTGTTTCACTGTCAGGACTTTGCATTCACTGTGGTTGCCCTGGTCAGGTTTATGCCAAACACAAGGCACCGTATTTTTTATTTTATTTTTTTTTTTAGCTTTTGTGGGTGGTGCAGTGAAAGAGAGACAGGAAAGTGAGGAAGAAGAATGGAGGGGGGAGGACGTGTGGGAAAGGGCCATGAGTGGGATTTGAACTCATGACCTCCACATCGGGACTGTAGCCCTGCACATGGGACACCAGCTCAACCAGGTGAGCTATAGCGGTGCCCCAACGTAGCCGTCTTTTTGATCTGATTTGACCAAAAACGATGCTCCCAATATTCATCAAGTTTTCATGTTGTTTTTTTCCCCAGCAAAGTCTAATCTTGCTTTTCTGTGCGAAAAAGCAAGAAAGGTTTTTTTTTTTTTGAATGCCATCCTTAAAGGCTGATGGTATGCATTGTCCCTCTCAACAGAAACTAACTTTCACTGGTCACCTCAGTGTCCAGAGCTAGACTGTCCAGACAATGCACTGCCTCTCATGTTCTTTAAGGAGTTCAACTACTGCAGCTCTGACTAGTGGGACTATGGCTTGTTCTATACCTTCTGACTACTTCTAAAACTGTGTTTCCATTTATTTTTTTATTTTTTTTGTTGGCCACTGATCTCCCAGTGTCCTTTTTCATCTTTATGAAGTCTGACAGTCAATTAATTCTGGGAATTCTTTTCCATGTGAAGCCAAAACTGAGAACTGGTGTTGAAATGTCATTTTTTTTTAAGAACCATATTCATACAATTAATCTACTGAGAGATTGAAGGTGAGTTTAGTTCCAGTGGTTGCAGGTTTTTTTTGAAAAACTTGTATTCACCTTTGTTGCATTGAGTTCCTATGTTGGAGCCTAGAATTACATACAGTCTTTATTTGTTTGTGATTGTTCACAAGAGAAAATAACCTGCTGTTCAACTTAGCAGTTACTGATGTTGAATAATAAGACATTTAAGTGACACTGAATACGGGTGCACCCAAGTTTTCACTTTGTTTTTTTTTTTCTATGCGAACACTGACTTACACAGTTATTGATTTTAGATCAACACAATGAGAACTGCACATTAAAGTAAATGCATTAACTTGCTGGGTAATGTATGCAAATAAGCTCACCCTAAGAAGCATGTCCAATGGAGTTAGTGTATATCATGTGGAAGTAGTAACTCCAGCATATATTATGGAGAAAACTGGGATCCATCCCAGTTAAAATAACAGCAACATCATAAAAACAAGTTTTAAATATAACGGTAAGCAGTCCCGCCCCAGCAGAAACAAGAAACTCTTCAAGAAGACTTAAATACACTCATGTTACAGTCGTCCTCAAATGTATTCATACCCTCCCATTAAAGAAGGAAAAAAACAACTGACAAAAGTAATAATAAATAAAAATTCAATGAAAATCATGACCTTGCTTTTGGTTTGTGGTTCAACAGAAATATAAAAAAAACAACAACAACAACAACAAAAAAAACCGAGCAAACAAGCATGATGGGACCCGTAAACTAATATTTTGTTGCACAGCTCTTTGAGCCAATCAAGTGTTTTCTGTAACTCTCAATCAGACTTCTGCTCCTGTTGACAGGTGTTTTGATTTCAGTGCTCATCATCATTTACATTATTCTTTTCAACCACAATTCAAAAGCAATGTCTTATTTCACTAAACTCTAATTTAGCAAATTTTTATTTATTATTACTTTTTTCAGTTTCTAGTTATTTGAGTGACTATTGTGAATTTTGCTTTTTCTTTAATGGAAGGGTATGAATACATTTGAGGACGACTGTAGGTTCCAGTGTGTTACAAACTGCATGAAACAACAAAAGTGGCCACAAGAAAAACTGATGAGTCACATAAGACTCAGCCTCCTCCTCATGAGCCTTGTGTCATGACTGGTTTCTGCAAGAAGAGGGAGACAAACAGAGACAGAAAATGATTGGCTGTTCAATTATTAATGAAGATAATCAAACATTTCATGCTTTGATTTGGTAAATTGAATCATTGTTTCATAGCGAGTGAGACAAAAAAAATCAGGAACAGGACGAGAATAACCTATCAACCCGAAAATAACACACGAGTCGTCATGTGAGATGTGAGGGATGTGAGCGGTTACTCAGGCTGAAGAAAAGCAACTTGACACCATGTTTGTGGCACATGAAAGAGAAAATCAACACACTTCAACGTGTTTCTAAAAGGTTCATTAGACGGTAAGCACTAGCAGAAAGTGATAATCAAAAGAAAGCTGTCATAGAACAGTATGCTGTTGCTATGACTTGGAAACTGGATCACAGGTTGTGTTGAAGACAACACCTGAGGAATGACCTCACTGAAGAGGATTAGAATTTGAATCAGCTGTAAACCAGTTCTTTTCCTGACGATTCTCTGTTAACGATGCAGATTCCCAGCTGAGGTAATGCGTTGTATTGATGTCTCTTTTCAGCCGTATGTTAGCGTAGGATCTGCATATTTGACCTAAACAGGCGGAAAATCTAAAAGGAAATGCAGCTTTTTCAACCCACCACAAAGCCAATTTGGAAAACAGAGCACCAGGAGATTCGTCAGCAAAAGAAGTCAAAGCCCAGTGTGATCAGAAGGCTACATGAAGAGTTCATTTCATCTTAAAATAAAGAAGAGTTATTGACATCTTGGGAACGACATAGTTTCACTCGCTTGCTGAAAGTTAGATGAGGAGACTGACACCACTCTCAGGTCTGCAGTTGAAATTGTAAGCTCCATTCTGGTTTAGCTGATCTGGCTCTGTAACAAAATCTCTAACTAAAGCTAATCAGTTAACATTTTAGAATTGAGGTTGCAATAGGTTGCTATCTATTGGGTGGGAGCAGCAGGACTTCCTCTAGAGGTGCTGCAGGTACCTCAGTGTAGAATTAGATTTTGTTTTACATTCTCATTTTGTGATAGTGAGTGACAGTAAGCGACTAGAACTAGAATCACACTCAGCTAACATTATGTCATCATGAGACGACTACATCCATAAGAAGCAATTATGGTGGTGATTTTGTAGTACAACTGCTTTTATGGATGTGTGTAAGTGAAGAGGAAGCATCTACCGACCGCCTTCTTTAGCGTCCTCAGTGTTATCTCTGCAACTTGTTTTGACATTTTGAAAGACGTGCACATCTGTAGTATGCAGCAAAATCTCTGGGACAAGCACAGAAGTCTAAATCAAGCTTTAGCATCCCAACTCTAGCTCTCAACTTGCTGGAACAAACACATACAGGAGTGGAATCAGTCTTCTCATATAGCTGAAGGCAAGAGAGTGAATGATTATTTTCCAAAATGTAAATATCCCTAAAGGTTAACATTCAGTATTAAGGCAAGTTAGCCAACCTACACGTGAATTATTATTATTATTTTTTTTTTTGTCAAAGCATGTGTTGCTCTTGTCCAAATAGCAGCTCTGTAACTGTGGAAGTGAACTCTTCACTGCACCCAGCACCGTGGAGTGGGGTCATACCGCACTGGTAGCCCTGGTCTTTGGCTTTGCCACTGGATTCCTCTGTGTCAGGGAGCCCCTGTAGAGGGAGTTCCTCACAAACCTGTCGACCTGGTCTGAAAACATACAGCAACTGCATTGTACAAACATATTCTACTGTATTGCTCTAGTTACTGAAAGCACAGTTAGGATGTCAGATTACTGTCGTCTCTCAAATTATGGTAAAGATCTAAAAACTGGAAGCAAATTTGGTTTTTTAATAAATTACACTTGTGGGCCTATTACGCAACAATTAATGGGAAAGTCAATCTAGAAACACTCTACGCTTTCCTAATACCTGCTGGTCAGGAGTCTAATTTACAGTAGCAGTTGGCTCCAGATTGTCCCCAAAAGAACTTCTCATTAGCTGAGAAAAAACAACAGAATACCCACAAAAATTTCAAAATAATAACTATTCTGTCAAAAACATTCACAGCTGTGGTAATTCTCCATGTAGACGATCTGAGTATGTGCTATCAATCTGGGAAATTAAAGCCATTATGCAACAGGACGCACTGTTCGCTGGTTCACAAAAGCAGATCATCATGTTCTTTGAGTTTAACAAGGTTAAGATGTTTTGAGTCACTCGAGAGACCCCCGGGGGATCGTGCTCAAGGGCAGCAGTGTCAGTTCTTACTTGTGGGAAAGTTGTGAGAAAGTCTTCTGGCTTGGATTGGGATTGCAGACTGTAAGACACCAAAGCAGGAGACAAAGAAAGACAGAAAAAAGAAAGAAATATCAGAATGTGGGAAAACATGTGGCCCAGCAGCTGTTTTGGCACCTTTGCAAATTTATCAAATGCAGGCCTGTTGAAGAACGTACGAATGATGTGACTGGTTGATTTGAATCGGACAAGGTGGGAACCGAGCGCCACATCCAAGACCGCTGGGCGACGTTAAGTGAAGGCAGTGGGATTAAATCTGCTTACAGGGGCTTTATTTAATAATTTCCAACAGCTCTTAAACTCTAACTAAAATGAAAGCAGAAATAATTTGTCATTACCCTCCGTCTTTTATCCACGGGCATGCCAGCAGCGTTCAGGGCAGCAATCCTGTTCTCGATGTAAGAGACCTTAAAGAGGAAGGACAAAAGGGTTCACATTGTTTTTTCGTTTTTTTAAATTCTTAAGGGAAAGGCATAGTGGAATGACATGCACTAAATGAGTCCGGTCAGGAGGGAGTCTAACCAGAGACTCGCTGCTCAGGGCATCGACCCCCAGGTCATAGACTCCCCAATTACTTAGCCATCAGAGCGCCCCATTCCAATTAGGTTAATGTACCACCTGAGGCTCTAGTTTTCCCTACCTCACTCTGGGCGTTCTGGACGTTGGCGGCCGCTTGAGCGATCTTGCCCTCCAGCTCGCTGAGTAGGGCCGTTGAACCTCTGAAGCTTGCCCTTGACCCGTCCTCCAGGGGGTGCTCCTGCCTCTCAGGACTTTCTGATAAATGGTTTGTCTGGAAGAGAAACGTTAAAGTAAAACAGGACAACAAAAAAGTAGATTTGCTTGAGAAAAACCCAAGCAGTATTTTAAAGGAAGTTATGAATTAAAGGTAAATTGAAGTCATTTATGTGAGAATGAAATGTATGTACAGTACTTAAAAAAATTATTAGAGTGTAAGGTTTATGCTGCACCTGTCCTAAATTAACAGCATTGGTAATTACCAACATTATTTTTTATGATTCTGTAACAGTTAATACCCCAGTATGTAGAAGCTCTTCAACCGAAATGATATTTTTAATGCTAAAATATAACTATTATTGGCATCCATGAGTTTTCAAATGTACTGTTTTACAAAAAAACTGAAAAAAATAGTGAAGCACATTATTGTTCCTTGATTAAGATATCAGATTATAGTTATTTACTTGCATTCCTGAACAGAAAAATTAGTTTTAGTGGTTGAATGTTATGCTTGATCAATTTCTCAGAGAAGCCTAGTGGCTCAGATTTGGGTATAAAAAGGTGAAATCAGTTGGAAAGAGTTGAGTGCAAATTAAAGCACGCCATGATGCTGGATGGTCTACATATAAATACAGTGCTTAACAAATTAGACAGGTGGTCTAAAAAATAAGTTAATCACTGTAAGTATCAACTGAAGAAAAAGAGTTCAGTTCCATTCAACATATTGAAAATGTTACCATTGCATGAAACACTCATAAGGCATAAACTTCACAGCAGTTTAGGATACCTGTGGTAAATCTTTTTGAGCTTATTTTGACTGAGATGAAACGAGAAGAAACATGGCCACATATTTTGGACAAAAAAATACCAGTGTGTTGGTTTCTTTGAACAACGGCTGTGGCAATTGCCTAACAGTAATAGAAAAATGCTGGTATATATAATTTTAGGGAGCAGTTACGAATGACGTTTTTCTTGTGCAACAGGCAGTACCACTGGATGTCACTAGAGCACCAGCATCCCTGACCAAAACAAACAAGCATCTCCCTGCTTCATGTTTCACACAACAAAAAATAACACGATCACTGACACATGCTAGGGTTGAAAAACACGTAAAAACAGATGTAACAAGTTGCCGTCAGCTCAAGTAATGTGTGCTTCTGTTTCCATGACGGATCAAATCCACTCAGACTGGAGCAAACCGGTGTGTGGAAACAGACACACAAAAAACCGAGAAGAATAGACAAGAGCTGAGATGAAGAAGCAGAGAAGAGCCTCCAAATGAAAAGTAAAGACTCTCGGACTGAGCTGAAATTTTAAAAAGTGCTCATAAATTAAGTGAGTAACATAAATAAAATGCTTTACTTTAAAATGCTGTAGCTTTGGGAGCATGAGGTTGAACTATTGATGACATTTTATAAAAAAAAAAAATAAAAAAAAGATTACTGATTTAGGCACGTATAACTTCAAAACAACACAATGATTATCTGGTTTCTCAGTGGAAGGTTCAGCTGTAACTGTGGACAAATGTGAGAAAGAGAACAACGAATTAACATCAACTATTGATCAAATATGGATTATAAAATAACCATCAGTAACCGAGCCATGGTGTAAAGAGTGTTTTATATTTGAAAATGTATAAAAGGAAATCTGGGGCTGATCAAATGAATACAGGTGTTGTTATTTATTATTTATTCTCATACCGACAGATGGAGGATTGCAGTGGGCTGTCAGGTGTGACTGTCAAGCAAAACAAAAGGTTTTAAATGACTCAGGGCCCCAGGAGGTCTGGAGCAGCTCTGATTTATCACTTTAACAGCAGACAGTTGCTTATTTTACAAACCACATATCCTTCGGTGAGCACTTAGAGTTTATATAGCCAATGGAGCAGAAACAGTTTAACGAGCAAAACTGAAAACAACGACCATCAGGTAATCAGAGGGCCATAACGTGTCACCTTTGACCCCTTCAGGCGACCTGTCAACATGACAGTTAGGCTGCCATAGAGCTGCTTCATGTGTTTGGTCCTTAGTTCGTATTGGTGCTATCACAGGTGAAGTGATGTTGAAGACATAATATCGTGGCCTCACCAGAGCCACAGTGGAAGGAACTGCCAGCGCAAACAGCTCAGGCGACGTAGCATGGCAGCTTTTTGGAAGTAATTTCTCGAAATGTGTGCGAGATGGTTGCAAAGAAAAAACAAACGCTAAGGCTGAATGACTTGATTTACGACTGCAGTGTGCTCTTGAACCGGGTTCCAGCAGAGGTGGTGTGGAATTTCATGAGCCACGCTGTTTTTAGTACGTACAGAACGTGCAGCAAGCCAGATGTTCGCCTTGTACAACTCTGCCGAACTTTCTGCCAGTAAACAAATGTGAATGCTTGTGTGTGAACCCAGAATTTATTTTTATTTAATTCGGCCACAAATATCTCTACCTTCTGAGAGTCGGTCTGCTGAGGCTGCTCCTCCTCGGGGGTGGAGGCCACATGGTTTGCTGTGGCTGCGGGTCTGGTTGGGAGTCTGGAGGGCTTGGGATCCCCCTGTAGGCTCCTCCACGCTGGAATCTCTTGGAAGGACTCTGGCCTGCTGGACTCGTCCTCGTCAGAGGACAGACTGTGGTCGCTGATGTTGTCCGTCATCTCGTGAAGCTTCCGTCTAAGCTGCTGCTCTTCTAGATCCACTTCTTCCCACTGAGGAGGAGGAGAGGAGCTGTTTGGAGTTGGAGGAGCCTGGTTGGTGTGAAGGAACAGAGCAGATAAAATGTGTCTGAGAAAAATGTAAGACAGCAAAGGAGGAAGCTCATAGTCTGGATCTTAAATCCCGTCAACTTGAGGGGAATGATTTGAGATTTCAAATGTACTGTTTGAGTTAAAGCAAGCAGCATCAGTGGGTGACTGCTGATTGCATTTTTGCTGCTTTCCTCCACAGTCAAAAAGCAAACAGATCATAATGTGCTTTGGTGGCCGAGAACACAGACTAAATAATCACAACATACTGCACCGTATGTTTGGTGAATGTTACCTACTGTATCCAGGCATGACTCCTACAGAACATGAATGCCTGAAGACATGAGAACGCTCCAGTTACTACACTAATCACACGGACATTAACACAGGCGTATCGCGTGCAGACTTTGAGCTGACAAAACCGCCGGGGCATGTGTTATAATGGAAATTGATTTAAGCTGTGTGTTGCCTCCAGAGAAAGGAAAAATCTAAAGTTTATAAATAATGCTCTCATTTGAAGCTGGGTAGTCACTAATTAGTGGGCGAGCTTAAGTTCTGTGTTCATTTACGGTTTGCTGTTTTTTGTGGCTTGGCTCAATCTATGATGATACTGGTGTGGATTTAAGAGTTCAGGTCCCACTTAAAAACAGACACCAAACCTACATGAGACACCGCTGCTGATGAGAGGAGGATTGAAATAGGTAACATGTGCTCATTTTCATCACCAGAAAACAATGGGCTGCAAATAAAACATCTCATTAGTAGTAAAGCAAAACCTTAACAATCAAATATATGCTTGTCTTTGTCAGCCGGTTGGAAGAAAGACTGCATGAGTTTACATGTTTAAAGTGTTGATTATTATCTGGTTACACTGGAACAATGTAAAGATGAACTGAATTATACATTTGAAAAATAGACAATATTATCATTTCTATGCAGACAATACTCAATTATATATATATATACGGTGCTTAACAAATTTATTAGACCACCTGTCTAATTTGTTAAGCACCATGTAGACCATCCAGCATCATGAAGTGCTTTAATTCATACTCAGCTCTCCACATTTTGAACAGGAATGAGGAATTTCAAACTGAATTCACCTTTTACACCCAAAGTTGAGCCACTGGGCTTCTCTGACAAGTCAGAAATTCATAAAGAATAACACCCAATCATGACAACATTTTTTTTCTGCTCAGGAATGTGAGTAAATACCTAGAATTTTATTATTTTAGCATTAAAAATATCATTTTGGTCAAAGAGTTTCTCCATACTGGCGTATTAACCATTACAGAAACATAAGAAATGATTACCAATGCTGTTAATTTAGGGAAGCTGTAGCATAAACCTTGCATTGGGTTGTGGTCTAATACATTTGTTAAGCACTGTATATATGAGTATATATATCTTGTGTGTCTTTTGTTCTAACCTGTGACAGAGTCTTGTGTTTTAAATGTTTTTTTTTTTACGCCTCCATTTTTTCTGCTGTACTATAAGTGTAGATTTGTACCGTGTTGCATCATCTTTATGTGCAGCCTGTTGTTTCTTTCTCTTGTGTTGGACTTTGTTTTGTTGTCTGTATTTAGAGTTTGTTATGCCGTAAGTGCATTCTTTCTTCTGTTTTACCGTTGGTCTCGTTTGTATTTGTTTTAGGTTTTATTTGTTTTTTCTTTTCATTGTTTTTTCCCTTCATTGAGAATCCTGTCCATGGCTGAAGATTTTAGCCAATCACAGGTCTTTTCACCCAGAGCTGGTTGGATAGTATGAATAACAGCAAAGTCTGTAGTTAGAGCAGGATATGGTGGAACCATGAGTTAGAAAGAGATGAGAATCTGAGCAAAGCCACAGATTAATGTTGACCATCTTTCTGTGTATGAAGATTGTGTTTGCCTGGTTGAGAAGCTTAGAACAGACATTGGAGGGGGACGTGCTGCAGGAGGAGGGCTTTATAGTTGTCAAATTATAGCTTTCTTTTATTGGGGTCTTTTCCTGATTTCTGCCTAGTGCAGCTTTAAAGACCTTAACAAGGTCATTCATGCTTTTATATCCAGGTTGCACTTGGTTCAAAATGTAATGTCTAGACGTACCTCCTGGAGTACAATATGAGCAGGAGCCTATTCTGTCTGTCCTGGCATCTTTAAACTGGTCATCTGTTCAGTATAGGATGAGCTAGAAACTTGTATTGCTTGTTTCTGAATGTGTTTGAATGGATTAGCTCCGGCTTGTCTGTCAGACTTGTTGCACTTTTACATCCCACTGCGCTTAGGTCAGCAGACCAGCATTTCTTTACACTGATTATAGTGTGTATGGGCACACGTACAGCTGCAGACGTCTACGTAGGTGTCGTAGTTGCTATTACAGTGCCTATAAAAAGTATTACAACCCTCTGAAAGTTTTCCCCTTTTTATTCCTATTCCACATTCAGTCATGGTCAATATAATTAGGTTTTGTTTCTGACAACAATTTACAAAAAAAAAAAAAAAGGCTATTTCATGACGAAGTGAAAACAGATTTCGTCAAAGTAATGACAATTAATTAAAAATATAAAGCGTAAAATAAGTCACTGCACAAGCATTCACCCCCATTAAAGTGAGTCACCTAATTCAAAACAGGTGCAGCCAGTTGGTGCTAGAAGTCACACGGTTAGTGAAATAAAGATCATCTGAGTGCAGGGAGTGTGTCTCAAGTGATTGTAATATGAAGACAACTGTAGATAAAGAAGTCACTGGTGAATCAGTACTCCTGGTTATATTTGCACCATGTAGACAAAAGAACACTCCAAACAACTCTATGAAAACGCTACTGAAAAGCATGAGTCAAGGGGTGGATACAAGAACATTTTCAAATCACTAAATATCCCCTAGAGTACAGTCAAACCCATCAATAAGAAATGGAAGGAATATGGCACATATGTGTCTCAAGCAAGTTGTCCTTTAAAAACTGAGTGACTGTGCAAGAAATATACTAATAATGGAGGCCACCAAGACACCTATGACTCCTCTATAGGAGTCTAGAGACTGTGCATGTAACAAGCGTTACCACCAGTCAAAGCTTCGTCAGCTACAAGCATCATGATGTGGAGTTGCTTCTCAGCAGTCTGTCCTAGAAAACTTGTAAAGTATGGAGGAAAACCTGGATGACAAACTGATACAGTCTGCAAGAAAACTGTGACTTGGGAGAAGATTTGTTTTCCAGTAAGGAAATGACTGGAAGCATTCAGAAATGGTTGAAAGACAACAAGGCTCAAGATTGTAATTGTGGCCACAGGTGCATCTACTAAAGACAGACTTGAAGGTGGTAAATACTTGTGCAATTACTTATTTTACATTCTATATTTTTAATGAATTCAGTTTACTTTATCGAAACCTGTTGTCACTTTGACATGAAATGATTTGGTCAATTCTTGCCATAAAAGCCAAATTCAACTCACCGTGACTGAATGTTGAAAAATAAGTACACCGGAAAACGTCTAAGGGAGGTAAATCATTTTTATAGGCATTGTATACTACTTTACAAGTCAGTAGGGTTCGCTTGGAGGAGTCTGTTGCATACATGTGCAGTCGGTTGTAAGTACGTGTGTCACACATGTGCATTATTGCTCTTGTAATGTAGTTGCTGTGCTGCTACACAGTTGCTGCATTTTGTGAGTCAAAACAGCACAACAGCAGCCTCTGAAATCAAAACAGTGAGCTGAAAGATACTATGATGATTGGATGTTATGTTTCACTGTGTGGTCATCACGATCATCAACCACAGTCTTATTACTCATTTGCTCCGTTATTGATATAAAATATAACTCAGTGCAGCTTTAAAGCATATGGCTGGCATTAACTATGTTTTTGTTACCAGTAACAGTGCTGATGCCTGTACTAGCGAACGTGAACTTATTGGCAGAAAGAAAAAGCACAAATAAAGCACTAAGCAGACAATTGCAAATCTCGTGTATCAGCTAAAAATCAGTATGGCCACATTTTTAAATGTCAGCTGCAGCTAAGCCAGGGACATCACATGTTGGCTGGAGAGGTGCATTCCTGCGGCGAAATGTCGTCTGCATTTTGATAAAACTTCCTATAGTCTCCATTTTTATGGCTCTGTACATCTAAATGTTCTTGGCAGCTCCTTTAATGTTTTTGCTGTCTTGCGTAAGTCTCTTTGTGCAACAGCTGGCCCGAGGTTCGATGGCGACTCTGTGATTAGATGTGACGTTTACTGGATTTACCTGGTCGTATGCTGTGCTGACCCTCTCTTCAAGGCGGTTCAGAAATGTTTCGATGGCAGACATGCGTCTGTTAATGTCAGTGATCTGGAGAGGAAGTTAAAAAAAAAAGCAATGTGACAAGTGAAAATTGACAGTAATAACAAACGTGTATTGAAAAACTCAAGGAACCATAACAAAACTTGATAGTGAATACAGTCAAAACAAGTTGTGCAACACACCTATCGGCTTACTACTGAAATGACTCAGTAAGTAGCAGCATGTCATGTATGATATCACTTTCCTTCACACTGAGACAGTCAAGACATATTGGCACTGAAATCTATCCTTCACTGGAGGGGTTCCTCTCGAAAAGGATTTGTGTGAAACAGTCCGGAAAACACATTTGGAATGTTACAAAGAATTTAACTTTTGAAAACTGACACCTCGTTCTATACAGTTTGTCTTCGTGTGCGATGGAAAAGAAGAAAATGTTCCTTTGGATAATGGGGCATAGTTCCACAATAGTTCTTTTTCTAATGGGGTCACTGGGTGCAGAAATAATCATATTCAGATCAGGAAGTCAAGCAGACAGTCATCTGATGGATCTTTGATGTCTTGCCCAACAGTACAGCAGCAGTTCCTCTCAGACTATGTATAAATCTGGCCTCCTAAAACCGCCACATCGCCAGGATTCCCCACTCCTTAACCCCGATCCCGTTTCTAGCGTCACACGCAGGTGTCGCTGGTGGCGGATGGTTCACAGCATGGGGCTGCCAAGGTGACATAATCCTGTTGTGAGTCACAATTTATAATTTGCATTTTACAAGTTTAAAGTATTGAAATCCCACTGTGTATCCTAATGAGCTTCTTAGCGGTGGAAAATTAGGAGATTTCTTTTTCTTTTTAGTTTTATAAATGCATAGTCTATGTGCATTTATAGGAAGTGCACACAGGAAGGCTGCTGTAGAAAATAAAACTCAGGAGAAGCCACACGGGATGACTCTTTGCCTTAACTCCTTGTGTATTTATACAAACAAGATTTATGTGATCGTGAGGCTGCAGACTTTACAGGAGCCACGTGCCAGGTCCAACTGCCACTACATGATTGACTGTAGTCATGTGCAGGTAGTTAAATAAAAATGTGACGCCTTCTGCTCAGCCTCACAAATACAGTCACACTGTAACCGAATAATTAGGTTTTTGACTCGTAATAATAGATGTTTAATTCTGACTGTTAGTTGTGTATATCTTAATATCTAATGCTGTGAGGAGACAAGTCTGATCTGAAAACAAGCCATTAAATCCATTATGGGTTACTGTGTACACTTTTCTCGATGGTGTTTTTAATCTTCTGTGTAGGTTTTATTCCTCTGTGTAATAATTTTATATTTATCCTTTCATTTTCATATAAACCCTTTACTTTTGTATTTTTGGACTGGTTGATGTGGTAGTTGTTAAACATCTTCCATAGGTGGACTGAGATCTGGTGACTGATCATTTTCAGCCCCTCAGTGAGGCCTTGTTTGGGATCCACATTGGATATGTTTGTCTCCTCGTTCCTTCAGGCTTGCCCTTTCATTTGTCACTCTGTATATTAAACTTGTAAACATTCTGTAACTTGGCCCGACACCAGTGTTGCCCCACATGTTCGTGTTCGCCTATACAAAGTCTGAGCTCGTCGACTCAGCTTGACGTCTCGTTCCACAAACATAATCACATCGCGAACATCACTCGGGTCTATTGCTGGCTTGAACGGCTTCCAAATCAACATCAAACCGACAGAGACGAGCAGCCGTGTGTAGGATGAGTAACTGCCATTTGAGGAAGATAGGGCCTGGCGACCAATGAGAAATGTCACGCCGGTGTTTGATGTCTGACAGGCACATGTCTGCATATTTTCCCCCTGCATCCTGTTTGTGTGTCTGGTGTGTTGCCCAGCTGTGAGACAAATATGCCTTGACATCCGATATCAAAGGTATAAATCAGCACAGAGGGGACCGGTTAAGGCTGATAACGCCGTACCTTCTGTTGTCGCCACCACGGGGCTTAATCACTTCCTTTGTTTTCATATTTCTTATCTTTCGCAGCTTCAAAGAGAAGTTTTTAAATCAGATGGTCCGAGTTATACCTCTCTATAAGTTCCAGACTGTGTCTAAGCCAACTCAAAGACATGAAAACCCAAAACAGGAGGACACATGAGGACACATTTACACTTATTGATTTCTGACATGGGCTCGAAAAGCAGCCTCTTCAAAGCCAGTCACACTGATGGTAAACAAGGTCTGTTTTTTATCTGCTCCTCTTGAACAGCACAGCAACAGTTGCTGTGATCCTTTCCAGGGACTGACTTGTATGCTAACACATAAATAGACAGTGATGTAATGTACGTAACCTCCCTCTGATCTAGCAGCTGTCTCCTCTTCATCACTCGACGTGTCGGCCTGATGAACTTGTGCGTGTATAATGTGTTAGAGTTCTAACATGCGTTGCTGGAGAGGTCTGGAATATCAGGAGGAACGTTGGGGGAAATCAGTTTGTTTGCTGTTTTATGTCAGAAATGTGCCTCCGATGTGACGCCACAGTTGATTACTGTACGGATCAAATGATGTACAGAGCCGGTGCCGTATTAGAAATGATTTCTCTTTCATACAGCCCAAGCAGAATAAGTTTATATTTTTAACAGTATTGTTTATTATCCCATTCTCTTTTGTTCTGACTAATAATTAACAAATTCCACGCCACGTTGCAGCGATTCAGTACGTGAACTGTGTTGTTGGATTTCTCATTGTCTGGTTTCTGCATACTCTGCCGAAGATAAAAATCATGACGCTTTTATTAACAGTGATCAAGAGCCATATGGGTTGTATATACGTCAATAAAGTTGACTGATTATCGGACAGACATCTGTGCAGCAGCGGGATTTGACTGTGTGAAAATCGCTCGACATTCTCAACTACGAATGTCACAGTTTTAATGTATGTTTCCGTTTATGAGAGCAGAACGCAAGCAAAAATAGGCAGCACTTTTTATCTCAACCCACAGAATCCCAGACATTAACGGATGTTTCACAACATGAAGGAGGATTTATGAATTTTCCAACCCAGCTGCCAAATGAAAGTAATGTAATGAGGATTGTATGTGTTCTCTGAAAAATTAATGTGAAGCATGTTGAGGACCTGTGCTGGTGGGATCGCTGAGTTCAGGCTCTCCTGAGAGGTGTGGCTGTAGGTGCTGGGGTGAGACTGGTAGAGCGGGTACTGCTGGCACAGGTGGTCCTCTTCCTCGGAGTCGTCGGGGCCGGGCAGAAAGGTGCTGTTTCGAGGGCCTCCGGCGCTGCCGCTGCCACACGAGGAGTAGCTGAGCTGGGAGATGGAGCGGGACGGGTTGGTCCGGTTCTCCAGGTACACAAGGTCATCTGGAAAACAGCAAAATATGTATGATGAATAAGCAATGCTGTTCGTTTTTATTATTCCAGTTTGAACCTTTCTTTAAATGATACTTGACACAGAAATACAGCCTCTGGATGATGTAAAAGTCCAGTAGGTCAACATTATGGACACTATCATTTACACTTAATTACTGAGCAGTCATACTTTAATTGGATTTTGGCAGTCAGGTCTAAATAGTAGAATACGCACAAGCCTTAGTCTTGATTGCTGTGGAGAAAAAGCCAGTCAAATGTGATGCTACAGCTACTGATTTAAGAAAAACACTTTTAAATCTTTAGCTTTCACTGAACAGCAACTCAGATGACAGAACTGTAAGCTCAATGACTTAAGGTTTCTAATTAATAAATTTAACGTGCCAAAAATTATCATATGTTTTATACACACAAGCTTGTACCTTTAAGTTTTCTTCAAGTTTAATTTAAAAAAAAAAATCTTAAAAACCCCACAAATGACACTTCAAGAGCCTTCTGTGCCTGAAAACATCCTCCTCTTCACAATCCTGTCTCATGGCTGCAAAGTGAAATTTTCATGGATAATGTAAGAGCAAATTTTCCAATACATGGTATTTTAATCAATTATAGCATTTTAATCAATGCTATAAAATATGATGAGCTAATATGATAACGAGGAGGAGACGTTATCTTAATGTTATACTGATTATAACTGTAAATTTGGAGTAAAATAACATTGTCCCATTTTCCACAGAAGGACCAATTTGTTGCCCAAACCTTTGCATGTATTGCGACTGCTGTAGCTGACTCCTGTACATTCTCTTCCAGGGATTTATTCAGGTGATCTAAAAGCATCTCCTCCAGGTTAGGTACTGAAACTGCTGTGTTGGTCTCCACACCGTCTTAATGTCCTCACCGAGTCTTCTCCTCTCTAACGGCACCATCTTTAACATAAAACTCACCATAAGCTAAACTTACAAACCTCCTTGTTGAACTTCCTACATGCTCATAGACTTGTGGTTATGTTCAGCACCACGAGCGTTTGTTGAGGTTTTGCTGCATTCTGAGCTAAAATTGCAGCCGGAACTGTAGAACTGCAATGGAAACAGAAAGGCTGACAGGGCAGATTACAGGGCAGTTCCCAGTAATGTTTGTGCCACCTCGTGCCTGTCCCAAGATCCGTCCTTCCTTTGAAATGCGCCTATTAATGGCAGGTTTAGAACTGTGAGATATGGGCTAATTGCCCTCATAAGCTTACAAATTTGAGGAACGAAAATTTTGGCCAGAAAACAAAACAAAACCAAAGACAGTTACACCCAGTTAATATCAGATGCTTCGTCAAGGTCACTAGTTTGCAAATTTGCTAACAATTTGTATAGAACATATTACTAAAGCTATTACCCTTGGCTAACAACATTTAGCTTGGGTGCTAATGAGTTGACATATATTTTGCTGGGAATTCAAATGACTGTACACAGAATGAAAAAAAGAGAGAAATCTTGAAAATATTGTAGATGTTTTACATTTTAAATATTTTTTTTTTTATAGCACCATTAGCTACTCTGCTAACTAGCTAGCAGGCTAATTTAGAAAAGTCAAAACATTGGGATTTTGAAGCAACTTCAAACAAGACATTGTGTTACGGTAAGCACCTGAAACAAACAAACAAACAAACAAACAAAAACAAACTTTACTTAGCAATAACTAAATACTGAATCATAACCAAAGCAAATGGCAGCTGAACCACATGGCATCAGGTCAATTACAGCTAAAAGTATCTAAATGTTTTTTTTTAATTCTACTTTTTCCAAAATATTTTGTAAGTACATGAACTGTACAGTATGTTTGTTATCAAATCACTTGTGTTTTTCTCTACTCTGTACATGCTGTACATAAGTGTTTTAATCCACACTGGAGCTGAGATTCTACCTGCTTGTGGAGCCATTTCCAGGTCCAGACCTTTGCGCTGCTCATCCAAAATGTGGTGTAAAACGGAGGCAATATCTCCCTCAGCAAGCATTGACTCCCTCGCAGCTACATCCATGGCCACGATGTCGTGGTCGCCACGGCGCTGGGAGAGAGGATGGAGGGGAGCACAAATGAGGCCTTTTTCAAGCAGAGAATGAAAACATTATGAGGCATTGGGGTGTTCAAAAAGGTAAAAATAAAAGACGGATGCTGCTTTTCAATTATTCCAAGCGTCATACATTTTTGTTAGATTATAGGAGGTCGTCTGTTGATTTTACAGATAGATTGGAGACAAATCAAAGGAAATAAAGTGACTCAGTACGATGTTGGACCACCATATGCCACCGGATCATTTTCAGTGCACCTTGGCACTGATTCTCCAACTCTGTGGAACTTTACTGGAGGGATCAACACCATTCTTTCTGGGGATTTTCCCTAATTTTGTGTTTTGATGATAGTAATGGACAAACACGTCCGTCAAAGCACTCAGTGACAGTTGGTGCCCAATGGATGGGGGTATTGTCACCCTGGACGAGGTAACTCCCATCAGGATGAAAATGCTTCATAGTAGGCTAAAGGTGATTACTTAGAGCAACTGATTTGCAGTGGTCCTTCCCCTTGAAGTAGACAAGTGGATGTAATCCATGCCAGCAAAATGCCCCCATAACATAAAGCCTTGATCAAGCCTTGATCATGGACAGGTGTAGACTGTGGGAGTCCACTGTGAAGACACTATTACATGCATGCACAGTGGGTCAAATCTATGTATTCTACACATAAACATTACTTCACAGAGTTGGGGAGATGTTCACATTTATATCACAAAGATTCCTGTGAACCCTTGCGTACCTGTGGACACAAGTACACCACCGGCCTTATACTCCCTTTCAGACACGTACATGGACAGCTGTGGACACCATGGGTGTGCAGTTGTTGCTATTAGGTCAGTGTTCACACATCTGTGAGCATGTGAGAGTCTGCTGGGACCTACGTGACGTAAATTTAATCAACTCCTAGGTCTGCTAACCCAGAGTTTGTGTCTGTGTAGTAACTATGCTAATAGGAGTATATGCTTGGCAGTAGCATGTATGTACAGTATACATGCTGCACATGGACGGAATGAAGTCTTCCTTCCAGACTTCAGCAAATTAGAAAAATAGTGTAATAGCAGCAACTATGTGTAAATGTGTCTCCAGCTGTCCATGCTCACGTCCACAAGGGAGGATAATCAATGTCTTACACTACTCTTCTAGTCTGCTGGAGTCAGCTTGAAGGACTCTGTTACATATCACAGAGTGTCAGAGTTACTTTTCAGATGTGAACACTAGAGAGATGAGTGTCTAATAAAATTAAACATCCTTCTCACATATTTTTATTTAAATGCTGTGTTGACAGGGCATTGAGGTAATGAACTTACAGCATCTGTGCACCCAAGTGTGCACATTTGGATGTGCACAGAGAGTGTGCTGTGGCCAAATACGAGAATAAATAATGTCAAACAAGACAATGTTTGGCAAAGGCGGAAAACAAAGACAGGCAAACAGATGAAACTGACAGATGGTCCCTTGTATGCATAAAGACATGCAGATTAGTCTGGTTTTGTGGGAAATGCTGGTTGAAGTTAGTCGTCCGGTTCTACCTGATCCGACCGTCCTCTTGATTTGCCGGAGTGATCACCGCCCAGTTCGAAATCAACGGGATCGACAGTTAACCGCCTTTTGGTCTTTTTCATCTTTGGAAAGCAGAAAGGGGAACACCATCACCAGCAGAGATGAGAGAGTAAAAACAGAAACCCCTCCTCACTAACACACTGTTCTCTGGATATGATGGGAGTTGACCAAAACCTAAACACAAACTTACCAACTAATCAACACCCATTATGTGCACCATTAAAAAGCAGTTATTCATGAAATCACATGAAGAGTTCATTTGCAAAAACAGATAACTCCATTTTTGTAGACTTTCAGATAACTTATTTTTTTGTTGTTTGTGTGTGATAATAGCAATCAGACTGAAGTTAAGTGGATTCGAATTAGTAGAAATGACGACAAAAGTAGAGATAACTTAAGTCTGATTGATATTGTCTTAGGTAGAAGATGGAAAAGTGGGTTTTTCGAAGGTTCGTGAAGATGGAGTTATCTGTTTTTGCAAATAAACCTTTCACTTCTTCTGCAGAACTTTATCTATAGTTTATCAAATCATCATATCATTTATCATATTATGCTCAGTTTTGCAATTCTTGTTATTTTCAGTCACATTTTCTCTAAAAGCTACGACACAGATCTCTGACTTGGTGATAAAAGCCGGAAAGTGCTCACAAAAGTAAGCAAACATGGTTGTCTCATAAGTATGTGGTTCAATGCTGAAATTTATTAGATATTTCAACATTTATTAGATATTTTTGCTTTATTGCATAGGCAATATAACTATATGTATAGTAGCCAGTTGTGTTTTTGGCCAACAACAGTCTGCAGTAATGAGCGAGAAGCACAAGACGACTGGCAGCTGCCAAACACACCCTTTCAATTTAGTTAACATTTAAATGTTTTTCCAGAGTCCTCAAACACCCCCTTTTAACTATCTGGATCATGGTCTCTTTTTGAAAAACATAGGCAAAATAAAAGAGAATATGTTGTGTCATATATATACAATACTAGAATAAGTGCCACTATAACTGATAATTACATTTTTAACAGCTACGTTTATCGTTTTTAAAATCAGGAAGCAAAACTTTCATTCAGGTGGTTCGTAGACTTTTTCAGAATCCATTAAAATCAGACGGGACATGTGTATCAAACACGGCAGGGTGTATATTTATAGAGGAAAATCTGGATGCTTTGACTCAAATGTAACGTTAATACATGTGAGGCACAAACAAGGGGTTCAGATAACATCTCTTTTGCTGTTTGGCTACGTGGCTGAGAAGGAAAGGGACTTTAAAGACACATGTGCATGCTTCTGTGCTGACAGAGCCTCCAGTCTGTCCAAGGCTCATTGAGCAAGACACTGAATCCCTACCTAACACCATCCAAGTTGCATTGTAAGTGCTGTGAGTAGGTGAAATGTGAGGGAGGTTTCCTTGCCGGAGCCAATGAAGTGTCAAAAGGCTTGCTACACTACTCTGTTTGGAACAGTAGAGGTCACTCTGTCTAAAAGAAACTCAAAGGAGGAAACAGTAAGCACCACTTGGCCTTCTTGCAATCTGTTTTTTTTTCTACAACACCCCTTAAATGTCCAGTCATTTAAGATATAAATAAAAACAGGAAGTGTTTGTTGCATCAGAAACAAAGAAAAAGCACCTAAAGGCCCAGCAGGGCCCAGTAGTCCTGTCTTTTGTCGACACAACAGCCAATACAGTGGTTTAAAATAAACAACGTTGAGCCTCTACATCACACACAGACTGCAGGATAAACAATAGTAGTCTCGGTTTTATGACAAATTCCAGTGGACTGAGTGAACATTTTTTACAATCTCAGAACTTGAACCAGAGGCTCTGTTACTCTGCTTGGACTCTTTTGTGTGCGATTATGTATGACAGCCTGGTATTTACCCACAGTGCACTGCGACCAGTGCCGGTTTGACCGTGCCTAACCTCAGCCGTTAACAGCTGTCAAGGCATTCCAGTTGTTCACGAGGGCTGGCCTTGATCACTCAGATAACCCGGGCAGAAAGCACCTCTGCTTTTCAACAGAGGAGGGACCCGTCAGCGTGACGAACGTCAGCGCTGCTGACCACAACAGAGTCCTGCAAACCCTCAGTTGTTTCAAATAAACATACGCATGCAAAATGCTGATTTGAACTTGAATAAGAGTGTCTGTTTTGCACATGAGCTTTGATCATTTCTCACTAAAACAGTTTTTAATTACCAAACAGGACATTGTTTCTTAATTAAAAGACACTGGTGTTATATTGGGTGTTGTTTGGATTTCCATGTGTCAAGGTCTCAGCTCAGATTGGTAGTGAGAAACTCCAAAACTAGTCTAAAACTGGTCTGCTGTCTGACTACAAATTATTATCAGCTTCTTTTTTTTGATGCATATCACTGGAATGTTTTTGGGTGACCGCAAACTCACTAAGACTTGAGGACCCCCAAAATAGCTGCAAGATGCCTGTTTACCTAACGTGCTCTACAAGCAAACATGATTAGGCAGTTAATAGGAAAGCATGGGACAGAACCAAGTGTACAAATAGTTCTTCAAGCACAGGGGAAAACTGTTTTAGTGAGAATTAGTGGCCATACCTCTTTGTATTGGTGTGAGTCTGTTGCGTCCATACTGTTCTCTTCATATCCATCTGCTGATACAGAAGGCACATGTGTCAGAGTAACATGACGAAACACTGCAGAATAAAATACATGATTTCTGGAAACAAACGCAGCACACAAAGAAAAAGATCTTACATTTGTGTTCAAACATCCCAGAACCACCTTATAAAAACTAAGTTCACCCTCAAGACCGAGTAGTTACGCCTCTTTAAAACTACTCATGACCTTTGTCTTCACTGTGAGATTTTTGCTTTTCTTTTCTTTTTTTTTTCAAATTTAATTTCCATTTGAGAGAGAAAGTACAGCAAAAGGACCAAAAGAATGAATGCTGTGTGTTTTTGGTCTCTTTATGAGGGTGTTTATAAGTGTTTTGCATTTCTACAACACTTAACCATTCCCTGTTGAATACAGAGGGAAAGGAAAGAGAGACTGGGAACAACAAAAGCTGCAAAGAAAAGCAGATGTTCAAGGACTGAGCATATACACAGATAAAGTAATAAAGCTGTGGCAAATAACAATGCAACAGATGCACATTACAGGTAAGTGAATCATTTTATGGACTTTTTGCTACACCGCTTCGAAGAAATCTGCAGAAAAAACTACTGATACTACGACAACTTCCAATGACAAATGCTGTGAGAATTTTATTTTATTTTTTTAATCTTCTTGACTCTTTCTGACTAAGACTTCCCTGCCTCTACCATTGTACACTTGATATGTGCGCCAGATGCTTGTGCCAACCAAACCACCAGTTTTGGTTCTTTTTCCACACTCGCTCTATGTGTGAGACATTCATAGCTGCAAAGTCTGAATGGATCATTTTAATAGTCTAATGACAGTATTTCAACCTGAGGCTGAAGGTGCTTATGTTATTTGGTTGAATGTTGTCATGCAGTTTAACTAAACTGGACAGCTTACCAGTTATTAAACATTAATGTGACTCCGGGCTGGATGAAGAAAGACCACACACATGGCTGGATTAACTCTCTAGGGGGTCTCACAGGGAAAAGTGTGTGGGCTCCAGTTGACCTTTGTTTGTAGTAATTTAGTAAAACACATATTTATTTAGAAATACAGTACACATCAGGAAAATTCGGACTATTTACGTGGTTCCTTACTGAGAACTAAAATAGGTAACAATGCCTAATCCCAAACAAATACGCAGTTAATCAAATTTACCACAAACTGGCTAACATATGACAGAAGTCCAGCCTCAATCGCACAGATTCTGGAGTTCAAAACATCTGAACATCAGTGTCAGTGATGTCTTAGTGCTGTCTGATCACTGAATAGAGCAATGATCCCACGTGACTCCATGAAAATACTAGGAAATTCTTGGGTCTAGTAGAAAATACTCATACATTTATCAGCCAGTACATTAAAACAACTGACAGGTGAAGTGTGTAACAAAGCTCCTCTTGTTACAGTGGAGTGTTCTGCTGGGAAACCTTGGTTCCTTTCAGCATTCTTGTGGACTTTGACACGTACCACCAAGCAAAACATCACTCCAGACCAACTCCGCATCAGCATGAGCCCTGCCACGCTGCAAAATCTGCTCAGGAATGACTCCACAGTATTAATGTAGAATCTACCCTGTAGCCTGCAGAACCCAAAGGATCTGCTGCCAACATCCCAGTGCCATTCGCTACAGGACAAGCTCAGAGATCCTGTGTCCGAGTTCCAATGGGTCAAAGCTGTTTAGTCAGCACAAGGTGGAACTGTGCATTATCAGGCAGGTGGTTTTAATGTTGTGGCTGACTGTGGCGTTTAATTGCGTTTGCTATGCTTATAGGATGGATCATAGGGAGGAGAATATCCAGTCCCAGTGCCCAAGACCAAATTATCTTGTTAACTATTGTTTAAGACCATGAAACTATAACAATATGTGTTAAAGACATTGATGCTCCCAAGTTCTGCAAGGTGGC